AAGAACAATATCAGAGCCAATTACTTCAGTCGAAACCTTCAATTTTCCCCTCGATTTCTTTAATCATGCCAACTCCTAGTGTGTACTCCTGTCGCAATGGTTTCTCTGACATTACCGGAGGTCACCTTATTTTTTCATGAAACGCTAAGAGATTTTTGCTGCGAGAGTGGCATCTAGAAGCTAGCAATAAAGCCAAAGACCAGTTTTTGCCTCATTGCTACTTTGTCGCTGTGTTTTTTTTTAATTACAATTCAGTCCCTTTGGGCTTGATTTCTCGCAATTTTGACCTTGTGAATTGTAATGAAAGTGGGGATGAGTCAAACCATTGCGATCAAACTAGACGGAACAAACAATAGTAATTAATTCTATTTGATGCAAAAAGACAGAAAAAAAGAAAGCAAAAATAAAGAAGAATTCATCGCAAATTCTCAGGTTTTAGCATGGATGACCTGTATTTGATCGAATCAAGGAAGTGATGCTAGTCTAATGTGCGAAAGACCCATGACACCACCTAATTGCAACACCCAATCAATATGATTGTATTCGATAATTTAAAATCCACGCGAAGCATGGAATATATGCTTTTGTGGATCCCATGTATTATCTTTTCTACGTTAGAGTTAGATGCGTGAACAATTCTTGATGGAGCCATTTGATCGATAATAGATATGGGCCAGCTACATCACACTGTTTCCATTTAAATGACTAGGCCTCGTGAATGAAAGCCTAGTTCGATCAAGTCCATGTTCCTGAATAGGGTTCGCAAGTAAAGCCATTGTTTGATAATGGATTTTGGGCCAGCTACATCACACTGTTTCCATCTGAATGATTAGTCCTTGTGAATGAAATTCTGGCTTGATCAAGTCCATGTTCCTTTAAAGGGTTCACAAGTAAAAGGGTCTAGAGGCGGTAAGCAGTTATTTCACCCACTATTAAAATGTTCGGTTTAAGACGCCGATGAAACACCAGCTACCCATCAAACGAGCTTGTCACCGAAGCCCAATTAGGTGTGAGTGTGAAAGCCCAAGACCGGTGATATATCTAAACCAAGGCCCGTCCTCCGCAGACAAACCAAGGTTTCCTGAGATCGAGAATAGACTAAGGAATCGAGCCTTTGGAACACTTGACCAACAGTCTACTTTATATGTTGTTACAGAAGTTGTATGCGACGTGACCAACTACTTTCAAGTTTCGAGACAGAGATATATCATATGAGTGACCTTAGCATAAACAAAAGGGATATCAACAAGCTGCCAAAAATAGCACTTGAATTGTCGAAATTGTGCCCACAAAAGAACTTTGTGCAGAAAAAAGAAACACAGAAGAGAGGGACGATGATACCTCGAATGTCTAGGTTTGATGTTTAGGCATGTTTGGTTTGGTAGCTACGTCGTGGCATGTCTGATGAAAGGGACAAGGCGTGCTTAAGCTTGGACTATCTAAGAGTCAGAGACCAATGTCAGCTGCTGAGTCGTTATAACATATTTAATCAAGAAACTTCTGATGTTTTGCAACAAAAGCTACGGAGTCACTCTCACCGAATTTTACGTAAAAAGAAAAGAAACGTTTGACTAATGATGGTCCACTCTGGTCAAGATCGCAGGGTTCTTACCCCAAAGATGGAAGCATGAACCAAATGATATGGAAAAATAGTGGTTAATTGCATAATTATTATATTCATAGCTGGTGATGTTTTATTTTTGGTCAAAAGAAAATTGTATTCATTACTCGAAATGATGCATGAGAAGCACATAAACTTTCATGACAAAGAAAATCAAAATAGAGCAAAGCCCAGAATATTACAAAACAAAGCCAAATCCAGAAAATAAGGAGGATTAATAGAGTACCAGCAGGATTAAGCACACATTCGTTCCATAAGAACGGATCTGTCAAGCAAGATAATCGATGGTTGATCACTTGATCTCGTGTTATCGTTGGTGATGAGCACACGTCGGAAATTCCTACTCCAATAACTACGGCGTTGTTAGTTGGCGGTGTATGTGTAGGTTCAGCTTCCTCTACACCATCACCGTACGGAGACAACCACACCATGTTGAATAAATACATATCTAACTTTTAGAAGAGCAGATTTTCGTAGTTCAGCGAGACGCCAGACAATCTGCGGTCACCATTGAAATTGTAGGCAGATGACATGTATACGGATAGATCATGGGTATCAAATCCCCGAAAATATTATTGAACTCCTAGATCAAAATCAAGAGAGAATAGCTCCTAGATCTAAAACTAGATCAGAATAGTTTAAATTCTCATATCTAGAACTAGACCGGGAGAAAAGAGCTCCAAAATCTAGATTGGGAGAGACGAAAAAAATAAGAAAAGAACAAGAAAACTCAAACAAAATCATAAGAGAGAGAGGGGATCTCTTCTTGAATATTCATAATTATTATTTTCGTAGCTAGTAATGTTAAGTGGTTGCTTTTACCAGTAAGATGCCTTCTTTGACGCACCAAAGATCTCTTCTTGAATATTCGCAGCAATAAAAGACATGATGCTGCATTAAAAACTTGATAAAGTAAAGGGCTACTAGAGAAGGCAACTCATCAATTTAATCAACGTGTTTTCCCCTTCGATTTCGAGAATATACTCCTATCGATTATTTCGTCTGCATTTTCCCTGTAAAACCATGGTCAAAGTATGAAGAGATGGACCAGACTGGTGATTCCGGTAGTCATTTTGGTCAGAGAGACTTTGAAACCATTGTTGAAGGGATTGCTTCAGAAGATTACCAGAGGAGTAAGCACGGGTATAGGTTCAACGAAACTAGGGTTTCGTTTCAAGTATCATAATATTACTTTGACTCCCCCAAAGCCAAGGCAGAGAAGCAACAGCCCACGTTGATCACGACAGGGCGAGGTGAAACTGAAGTTTTCCTTAAAATTAGCCGAAAGACACTAGTTTGCTCGGAACGCTTCATGATCCTCGACGCAAAAACATCTTTGATTATCGCTTTTCACGGTGACTCTGGTTTGATTCCTGTGTGTGCATGGCGTGAATCGTAGTCTAGACCAAAGTAGAACTGACCAAGGGAGAGTTATTCTTGGTCGTTTTTAGCTGAACAGTGACTTGACCATTTCTTGGTCTTAAAAGTGTGTTGAGATCATGAAAACCCGAACGGGGTTTTGGCTTTGACCTGGCCTCAATTCAGCTCTTCCCAAATTTCAAGGCTTCCGACAGGGTGGGAAACCGACTCGTGGTATTTCCTGTCGATTTGACACGACAGAAAAGTGTTAGGTAAGGGGAAAAATCTTTCCGATTAGCCCTCTTGACGCAATGACCAGGTCCGGCTGGCGGGACGGCCCAACCCCACCTCCACCGACTATGGTTCGGCCACTCATGGGTCGAGCTTGATAGTTGGAGACTCAAGTGTTGCCTCTAATGGCCCGAATTTGACCGTGGCCAACACGGGTCGATCGCCAACGATGGCCTGAGTGTATTGTGTGGTAATTAATTTGATGATGAGAGTGATGGAGAGAGAATCGATCTCTCTTTTGAATTATGAAATATCAATTAGATGCTTGTGTGATGCATGTTAGATCGTAATGAACTGAAACTAAATCTAAGATTCCCCGCTCTAAAGACTTAATTTTTCCAAAGAGTCGTGTGGAGCTTCAAGCATCATCATCTTCCCTTCCAAGCAATACTATTTTTCTTTCAACGATCGGTAGAATAAATTAAGCAAGTGTAAGGTATGGCCCAGACAATCAAGAAAAAATAAAGATCATTAGATCTGGCCCAAAAATAAAAATAGCAAGTTCTATTTTAGTATACAAAATACTATTCTATGGTATAGCTCTACTTGTCTTTAGCTGTCGGCTCGCCACGTCAGCTCCTATCTTTTCCTAGAACTGAGGAACAAATCATGAACTAAATCAATGTTTGAAAACCCATTACCTTTGCGGCTCATGACTGAGAAAAAGCTCTAGCTATTTCAGGGAGCACAACAGCCTTCGGCCCCATGTATAGATTAAACCAAATTGACTATAGTTTAATTAAATTTCCATGCAACGCAGATAACCTGGTATATTCCGAGAATGGTGCATCATGCTTTGGGAGTACCCCCGCCGCAAGCCACCACCCCCCAACGTTTAACGTTTCGGAAAGTCAAAGGACGACTGTTCTCTTGAGTCCGGATTTCATACGACGTATTCGTCTGAGGGGGAACAATTATACAGGGGGCAATACAGGTGAAGGCGTCAGGCAGTGACACTGCAATTTCCAAGTAAATCTGCTGTGAGGCTCGACCATACATACATTTGAGCTGTTAAACATTCACTTAGCATGTGAAAATCCGAATTCGTACTCCGTGATCGTTTGGGAAGTTGCGAAACAAAGCGAGCGTTCGGCGAGGATCTGCGCTGAACGGGACGGTTTCTCCTCCAATGAGAAATGATCGCACGAGGGGAGTATATCGTATTGACGAGACATGCTTCCCATCGAAATTAGGTTCCACGGAATTCAGCTCTTTGAGCAAAAGAGTAGTAAATTCTAACGAAACATTAGGAGACATTGCCGACGAGAAAACAACGCGAGGCCAACACCTGTTGAACAGCAATCAAGGTCAACGAACGTAGAACCAAAAAACAATCAAATCATCAAACCGTTTTCGCAGCAACATATGCAGACACGCCGCAAAGAAACCACATGAAATTGACCTTTACCCAAAGTACAAAGTCTGTTCAAATGACCACGTCATGCTCATCATGCATTTCGTAAAGTTTGCGAAGGACGTGTTTGAAGGTTTTAGAAAACTCCGATTCCATTTAAAAATTGTCGAAGCTGTGCTGCTTTTCTCTGCCTTTTCAAAACAAGTACCAAGTACTTTCGCTTGGCGGTCTAGTCGGCACGACCAAAACCTTGAAATCACGCAGTGTTCTTTATAAATACCCAATTAGATGAAGCGTAAGGGTCACATTACAATATACCTGAAAAAAAAGGAGAGAAAATTTTAAACCCTTCGATTCACTTCTCTGGCTAAAGCGATGCTACGTCCGGTGGCCACAGCCAAGAGCTTGATTCACCACCACGGCCGCGACCTCCGGCAAAAGATCCAGATCCAAGTCCTGAGGCCGACGTGCGATGTGTTCATAAACCACCGCGGGCTCGACACCAAACGGAATGTGTCGGGCTTGCTGTACCAATACTTCAGCGTGCTCCACCTCCGCCCCTTCCTGGACAGCAAAACCATGAGGCCCGGCGACTCGCTGTTCCAGAAGATCAACGAGGCGATCTGCGGGTGCAAGGTCGGGGTCGCCGTGTTCTCCCCCCGATACTGCGAGTCGCCATACTGCCTCCACGAGCTTGCCGTGCTGATGGAGAACAAGAAGAGGTTGATCCCCATCTTCTGTGATGTGCGACCATCTCAGCTTCAAGTCCCGGACGACGGGATCTCTTCCGAGATGGACTTGAAGAGATTCAGGGACACTCTCGACGAAGCTAGGGACACGGTCGGCCTCACTTTCGACACATCAACAGGGTATGGCTCGTTAAATGCTTGTGCTACCTAATTTTACGTGCATTATATGCATGCAGATGAATATTTCTCATTCTTTTTCTTGGTCTTAATATTACGGGTCATTTTGATTTATTGCTGAAAACTGATGGTGTTTTCTCTTTTTGCATTTTGAAATATAGGGATTGGTCGAAGCTCTTGAACGATGCTACAGATGCAGTGGTGAGGAATGTGCTCGAAGAAGAGGAAGAGCGCGCAAGCAAGAACCCTTGACACGTTGCACAAAAATACCTGAACTTTTCTTCTCCTTCCTGAATGATGAAGAGAGAAAAAAGAAGAAGAAAAGACTGGGTCAAGAAAAAAAAAGTGCGCATAGAAAATCGCTCTTGGTTCCCGAATCGCTGGGTCGACATCGAGTGCGCGTCGCATTCATGGTTTAATCGATTGCTTCCTTTATTGATTTGTTGATTTAATTGTAATTATTTTATAGAAAAGTACAAAGGAGAGATCCAGCACATAGTGCAATCTGACTATGTAAGAAAAGAACAATATCGTCAGATTCACTGTTTAACTTTAATGCTTCTTCTTTTTTTTTTTCTTGTTTCTTCTGTAATTAATGACATTTAGAGTTTCTAAAATATATATATGCAATAGTTCATATCACATATGTACAATCCTCTTTGGAAGGAACCAATAAAGTTGATAATATATTAGAGCTGTTGATCTTTTTGTCTATACTTTTTGCGGACAATCTGATCGTTCTCTATTATTTATCGTGTTTCTTTTGTCTTAGCTTAATTGGGAAACTTATTTACTTCTAAGAGCACATGCTCTACGAGAGAAACTGGTAAATCTTTACTAAATTTAGTTATAAATATCTAAACGTCATACATAGACGTAAGAACGACATAGCGCAAGCCTGATTAGAGGACTCGTGGATAGAACGGCGATTTTTCTTTGTTTGTAGTTCGATTGGGGTTCAAGCCTCACCGGCTCGAGAGATATTTGGGTGCATCGGGCGGGTGCAGGCGAACCCAAGCTGACATGCACCTTTAAAATCATATGTCCACACATCTAAACGGCACGATGCTTAGAAATAATACACGTGGCAAACATTATTTACATACATCTTGATCTTTTCCTTTCGTTAATACCAGAAGCGTCGTTAAATGCGATGGCCCATTTCATATACATGATCGTTTTACTTCATGTCATGAGCGAGAAATTCCCATCTAATTGCTTCCATGAATGTCTAGGGAAATTTCCCTCACAGTTTACAATCACTTCTTAATACGCGGATTGCCGCATTAATGAAGTTTCTCATGATTGCCAAGGAAAATTCACCTGGGCATCACTAGGAACGATTTGCTCACTAGGGTTTTCGGTTCATTGCCCATCGAAAACAACGATCTCGCGCCCCCCCGCCCCAAAACAAAAATGCTCGTGAAGAAAATGTCAAGACTTTGGGAAAATCAATGGAAAATGCAGACAGATCATCACTTCGTCAGGATGCATCTTCCAAGAAGACATTGGAATTTTAAAAGGAAATGTCTTCATTATTTACAGAACTTTTCGTGTGACCCGAAGGAAAATATTGTGACTCGGTTCGTGTGTTGTAATATATATAAAATATATTCGACGACATAACGTCGGTAAAAGTGGCTGCAAATTTGGGGCTGAGATTGTAAGCTGCGATGCATTTTCGTTGTTATTTATAGAGGGGAAAGGGCCTTCGGTGTAGCTTCGACGTCCATTCTGTGACCAACAATATTTACCAAAAACGGAGCAACGATTTCGATTATTATAGTCCCCATCAATCACATCTTATGTCGGATCTAAAAATTCACGGGGAGCTCATCGGTTGGGGGATGATAGAGCCATTTAAAATTGACATCTCGAATTTTATTTTATATATTTATAACGAATTTATTTGCCCAGAGAATGGTAGGTGGACCAATCCTTCTAGAAGTCCAAACTATACAAATAAAAAGGATTAGAAACTATTGCCCAGAAAGCACCGTGCCTCGATTAGTTTGGGTGAAAATTATTCGAAAAATCTTAAATTGATTGCATTTTTGCCAATTCGATCATAAACCTTTTTGATTGTGCCAATTGGATCCTAAATATTTTCACGTTTTATTAATTGAGTCCATTCGTCAAATTTTGATTGAAAATCGCTGACGAGGATGCCGGCTGTCCTACATGGCGCGGTCAGCAATGACGTGGACAATTTTCCTTTCAAAATTTTTATTAATATTTTTCTTTTGTTCTTTTCTTTTTCCTTTCTTTTCTCCTCTTTCCTTCTTTCCTTCTTTTTTTTTTTTTAATTGTGGCCAGCGAGGGCATCGCCCGACTGCAGGGGAGGCCGGCCTTGCCCAGATCAGGCTGCCTTACCTACGATCGGCAAGGTTGGTGCATCATATTTAAGGCCTCTCCATGCTTGCTCTACTCCATTTAACGTCTCCGTCTCCTACACTAGTAGCTAGGGTTTCTTCACTCTCGTTGGCTAGGAACCAGAGTCGACACAACCATGGTGGCACCCATCAAGTTCGTCCAGTGCTTCGGGAGGAAGAAGACGGCTGTTGCCATGACCTATTACAAGCGTGGCCATGGGCTAACCAAGGCCAACGACATCGTCATCGAGCTTGTCGGCCAGAGATCCCCTGGTTCAAGGCCTACGAGCCAATCCTCCTCCTTGAGCGACACCACTTCGCATGGGTTGACATGAGGATCAAGGTCAAGGGTGGCGGCCACACCTTGCAGATTTACACCAGCCTTGATGGCCATGGACGAGGTTGCCCTCCCCCGCGGCCGCGCAACCCTTGCCTGCGGCTGGTGAGGGCTCGATGACACTCACCGGTCACAGTAAGAAAAAAGGAAAGTAGGAAAAGAAAGAAAAGAAAAAAATAAATAAAAAATAAAAAATTTCAAAATATTATTAAAAATTATCTATGTTAGTGCCGAAAGTGCCATGTAGGATGGACAATCTTCATGTCAATGATTTTCGATAAAAATTGGCCCAATGGATTCAATTGGCAAAGGTTTAAGATTCATTGGCAGAATTAAAAGGTTTATAATTGAATTGACAAAATACAATAGGTTTTGGACTTTTTGGACAATTTTTCCATTAATTTTCCTGAATTTCCAAATGAAACAGTGATACATATTGAGAGTAGGCCACTAATCAACCATCGGCTTTGATACCATTAATTGGGAGGGCATAACAGAAACCTAATACCTTCACCTGAGAAGATCACTAAGAGAGAGAGCCGAAGTCCGAGCTCTGCAATATATGAAATTGAACCCATCTTCACTAAAAACTTAAGTTAGTGAGTTATGAGCGAATTAAGAAATATTAACTGCTCCACACTACATTAATTCTTTGATGTGGGACTATTTGATAGAATATTTATATATTATATCACGCATTCATCTAATAGCTTCCCAATAAAAAAAAAATCTAACAGCTTAAGCTTTAAGAACAATTGGCTAAATCTTTTATGGTACTAGAGCAGAAAATCCCGAGTTCAAATCTTTACATGCCCCATTTGCCTCCATAATTTATTATGTCTACGCTTAGTATTAGTCAAAAAGACCAAACTAAGCTTGCGGGGGAGTGGTATAATATTTAAATATTAAATCACGTTTTTATTTAACAGTTTAAGCATTTATAACAATTGGTAGTGGATCCTGAGTTTAAATCTTTATAGGCCCCACTTTCCTCCCTAATTAAGTATGTCCACGTTTAATATTAGACAAAAAGAGAAGACAAAGTGTAAGGGGGAGTGATAGAATATTGAAATATTAAACCACGCCTTCTTCTAACAGCTTAAACTTCTAGAACAGTTGGCGGTGCTCCCATTAAGTCTTTCACTTTTTTTTAACACAACTCACACGTGCATCTCAACAATCCGTTGTCACTGAGCCTAGACCCGCCCAAGATTGGGCGGCAACACCCTTGGTGGTTGAGATCTCGACTACCGATCCCTCGCCATGCAACATGTTGGTTTTCAACAAAACATTAACGAAGATTCTCATACAGTACGAAACTGAAACGCCTCATATGCGACTCTCAAAAACTTTTTTCTGTGGAAAGCCTAATTGCAATGAATCATAACAACACTTCCAAGTATAATGGAGAAGCCATGGCACCGACTACTTGAAACCCAAAATTGAAAAAGTATGTACAGCATTAAGCACTCTGATGTGGTCACAATCACTTCCCCTTTCCAAATAAAACGTATAACTTTATGGATAATCATTACCCTCTTCACATGGAAATGTTATTGCGATGGCTTTACAATCTCATGATGATCTTTCGAAATGATGAAGCTGCAACCGGACCAATGGTTGCGTTGGAGCGGCCGCGAGGTGAGGGAAGATGGTGAAATCCAACAAGATTATTAAACCCCGATTAAAGAAAAATTAGACATGGTCTGTGGAGTGGAGACCACTGCGCTTGACAGATCTCCCTTAATAAAGAAAAATCAGACATGGTCTGTGGAGTGGAAAGCACCGAAATTGACAGTTCCTTGTTGGTTCACAATCATGCACACATTGACCTTGGTGTCCAAATTGTAATGCGCGAGGAAAACCGTCCTCGAACCACTTTCCAAGTTTAACGTATCACTAGTCTACCACCTGACGTGCATAACCTGTTTATTTCAGGTAATGCCACAACGGAGATCTTATGTGGTGTGGAGTACTTATATTCGATTTAAATTTTTTTAGCTACATTGGATACAACTAGATATATTGACTATCTTAAATATGTATGCTCTCTTTGTGATGTCCCTAGAATTGAGGTATGGGGCTTGAGTTGCGTGTTCTACAAGTGATTTCCGAGCGGATGGTCGTATCAAAACTGATGATTGATCGGTGAATTCCTAATATGGATTGGTATCAAGGATAGAAGCTCATGATTAATGGCCTGAGTGAAGATTGCCATCATCGTTGGTTTGACAAGATAAGAAACCAAGGATATGTTAGCGTTAAGGATTACCCTATTAGAGGGGAACATGCTTAATATCGGAGGCCTTCACAGGGGAAAGGGAGATTGCGAAAGTGAACATATGAGGGATTTTGCACAAAGTGTGATATCATCGTCAACTATTAAAAAAGTTAAAATTGTTAGATAAAGGCATGGTTTAATAAACAAAAAAATCTAATACTCCCCCTTACGTGTAAGATGGACATTGGCCTAAGATTGAAGCATGGAAATATATGATAGGTGAAGAAAATAGGGGTTTGGAAAGATTTTAACTCAAGATTTACCACTCTGCACTATGTGAAATTTAGTGGGACCATCGCTCACTATTTTAAAAGCTTAAGCCATTAATTAAAGGCATGGAATAGATATTCCTAATTAATTATGAACCAAACAAAAGGAATGACTATTTCATAAGCAATACTAGAAAAAAGTAGGATAATTATTTTTGTATGTTCTACTCAAATACCATGTAAATTTAGTAGAATCATCGCAAACTATTTTAAAAGCTTAAACCGTCATATGAAAACACATGTATTAGCGATTCCTTGCCGCCTCAAGGAATTGTTATTTCTAGTTAATTTTGGAACCGAACAAAGAAATGACCGTTTCATCAAGAATACATTGGAAATAAAACAATCATTTATATATTTACTTTGATATCATGAAAAATTTAATGAGATTTCTGTTAATCGTTTTAAAAGTTTAAGTTGTTATATGGGTACATGCAATGGAATAGCTATTCATAATTAATTAACAAAGGAATGATTGTGCGAATCCAGGAGTCCTTTTAGGACAATCAAGCATCCTGGCTAGTGGCTATGGTTGACTTCAACAGGACACCTGTCCTGGGCTCCAACTTCCTCACTTATAAAGGGTCAATAATCGATTATTTTGTAGCATTGAAACTTTAGTTGTTTATTCATATGTAGATTGTTGGTAGTTAAGAATAAATATAAGCATAGATATATAACTCTAAAGTACATTACTTTTGCTTGTGAATCATATGGTTGATGACCCGAAAAAGGGTTTGTTTATTCTGCAGTGGACATGGCAACTTAGACTTCCTCGTGCTCATGCAAAGTGGAAAACTCCCACACTATCGATCGTTGTCAGCGAGAAGGTCTTTCTCGTAATAGTTATAACAAGAAACTTACTCAATTTATCTCAATTTAAGCATAAATTTGGACATTACTAGCAAGGAGATTCAGTTAATTTGTGACACGGCGTCGAATTATTGTATTGAAGTATAGATTTTCACCGTGCGAGGCGCTTGCAAATTGAAGCCCGAGAGCATGATTAAGAATGATGATTCCGTGGTCGATGTTGTTTTCCCGCAAAATGGGTCGGAAGTGACAAAGTCAAACCATTATACATTGTTCTGTTTGCAGAAAGAGAGAACTCTCTAGTTGTCCTTGTCAACTTTATAAAGTAATTAATGTGGGTTTTGTACCTTCAATCTTGACTTCTGGACAGGAGTTTCCTAAATCATTCAACCGACCACATTAATTAATATTTAACCCCGACTATAATGACCATACCACACTAATTGAGTTGTCTTCTTGACAATGCGATTCCCGAAATTTTATCATTAGTGCGGCGGTTTTGACCAGCGACTTATGATTAAGACGGTTCTAGACATGCATCTGAATTCATTATAGTGGACTACGGGGGTGCCATTTAAAAGAAGTTATGGTGCGTCGAACTAATTGACTTTCTTTATCACATAATGTGTTTTGCACGAGTCGAATGAGACTATACCAATTCACATATTTTTCTTTATAATTTGGATTAGTTTGAAGTAGACTTTTTAGTGACTCTCATCTCGTCCTAACCTAATCAAAATGCTTGATGCTTGGCTTTCATCGTTTCTTGGTTTCACCATGTTTTCTAGCATATTAAACTTCAAAAAGATTTTACCCAAATTTTTTAAGTTGTGCCTCTTCTTGGCGTGCGTGCGAGACAGAGATCATGTACGGGGCATATTAATATTGATGCAATGCTAGAAATCGGGTAAGGCATTCTTGTTTTTAATATAAATCTGTACAATACAACAAAAGAACTAAGATTGGATAAGTGAGGATGAAGATCTGCTGTCTTCCATATAAGGCTCATCTACTATTCTGTTTTGTAGACGAGATGATGAAATATGAACATTGATCTTAGTACGCACCCGCATATAAACACTATCCTAAATCCATCTCTCTCTCTCTCTCGCCACCATTGCATCTTTCGCCACCAGTGCCGTGCTCGACCTCTGCTGCACCACTACCTCCTTCACCCCCAACGACAATCTCAGCCACACCACCACCAGTGACGGCGGCGAGAGAGAGAGAGAGAGAGAGAGAGAGAGAGAGAGAGAGAGAGAGAGAGAGAGAGAGAGAGAGAGAGAGAGAGAGAGAGAGAGAGAGAGAGGCTTGGTGCATATGTAATTAGATGTGATCAGCAGTACAATTAGATGGACATATGTCGCGATTATGTAGGAAGATAATGAATGGGACTAGAGTTCCAAACAACAAACTTCATGGAATCGATTGGGGGAAGGGAAGTAAGTTTATACAATAAGTTTCAATTAAATAAAAAAAACGCTTCAATTTCTATTTTACTTGAATCCACATCATGATGATCACAAATGGTTCAAAACTATTCCTCAAAAAGAACTCGTATTGAGCCCCTGATGGGCTGAGACATGATTATAGGCTATAAGCCACTATTTCTCCTTTGCTTTTATCTCGGCCATTTCATACGGCCCGACCCAATTGAGTTTACAACAGAGGGCATAAGCCTCTTAAGTCAGTGACTTTTGTTCTTTCGGACTGAATAAAATTTCTTTTTTGAATTATCCCCACATTAATCGATCATAGAACTGAAAAGTTCTAAAAGAAACAACTCTCGCATGATTTACTTGCTAGAGTACGACCGACATGATTTTGATCATCTAAAAATGACGAGACCAATAGCATTGGCAAGGAAACATCATAAGTATATAGTCGGTCATTTAACTCGTCCCATTATTACAATGTGTTTATTTGTTTTTCGCTAGCCATCCAATTTGTAGAAATGGTCAAATTGGATACTCCTAATGCAAGTTTCAACAAATTTACCTATGTACCATGTTATGGTTGGTCATTTAACTTATGTAGCTCCTACATAATTCTTCGATCCATGTTCAAGATTCGTTGGAAATGACAGACTCGCCAATTTTGAATTTTTAGATTTCGGATGAATTGGATAATTATTTTTCAAATCGAATCCTGGACTTGTTCTTTGTTGGCGTGAAGACATAAAAAAGAACCAAAAAATCCAAAAAGGTCGATAAAGTTGAGGAAGATGAGATCGATTATGTCCCCACAATCTCTCTTGCCACTGAGTGCACAAACTCACATTAAAAGCCTTCTGTCCTACTGCTTCCTCACCGACATCCAACCTCACATGATCGCAGATGCTCTTTCATATCAGCTAAAACCAGTCACAGTTCTTCGTCTTCAATTGGTTTTTCACGTCACCGAAGGTCACGTGGTGAACGGTGATGATGGGTTTCGGAAGTGGGCTTCTCGTTCTGTTTCTGTGCATTGTCAAAACAGCTTGTGCTGTGAACACGAGCGACCATCGTGGCCATGGAGATTATGTGCAGTTCCTTCTTGCTAATGGAGTTGCTCGAACTCCTCCAATGGGGTAACACCCAGTTTTGACTTTACCCTTTACACTTCTTTAGTTCTGCAGCTAGTTCAGTTGTGGATTTATCATGTGCCTCCTTCTGTTTCTTTCTTTTGATTTTGTTGTAGGTGGAACAGTTGGAATCATTTTCAATGCGGAATCGATGAATGGACTGTGAAGAGCACTGGTGATATTATGTCTTCTTTACTCAATATTTCTTGTTCATAATCATGGCAAAGATATGTGTTAAGGACTTCTGTGAGTTTCGTTGGTCTATTTCCCAATATCTTCATATATAAACTTCATATGTTAGTTCTGCTTCTGTCTTGTTTCTAAGCCTTTCCTCTTTGTTAGCTCTTGCATATTGTGTCTTGGATTTTTGGGACATCTGGATGCAAACAACTAAAGACATCAACTTTGAAAGTCTCTTAAGCACTGCAGTTAGAGGACAGTTTGTCCTGCCAAAATCTCGAACTCTTATCTGGTTTTTCGTAAAAGTGTAAAAGTGGAAAGTTATCTGCAAATCATTCCCCAAAGGACTGTAGGATTATTGCATATACAGCTGTTATGAACTGATTCAAATAGAATAGAAGAGACAATTTCGCTTAGCATCCTCTTATATTATTGAATTATTGGGATAAGAAATTGACCATTGCGAGCTGTGAGTAGCTCTGACACATGAGCTGGCATTTTATCCCTTGATTTGAAGCAGAAGTTTGTGCTCTATTCTCACAATGAAATGGGTTTTCCAGCTTATTATAATGTTTTACATTCTGTTCTTGCTATAGCTGATGCACTTGTTTCCACTGGTTTGGCTGGACTTGGATACAAGTATGTAAACATTGGTAAGTGTCATTAAATCTCAGTCCTCAATTCCTTAATTGTGTCCTCTTATATTCTGCTGCTGAAGTTGTTAGCGAAGGTACTTTTGCCACTGCTGCTGGGAAATAATGCTGAAGTTTTCTTTTCTTTCACACTTTCCATTTTGATTTTCGTATCACGAAGAGTAAAACACGATTACTAATAGAGACAAATTTGCAAGTCCCCACCAAATGAATGCTATAGCAATGTCTGGTTTATGACTGCCATTGTACCTAAAGCCTAACCAAAATGGTTAGCAAAATGCAGATGATTGTTGGGCTGAAAGAAACAGAGATCAGATGGGCAATTTGAGGGCAAAGTCTTCGACTTTCCCTTCTGGAATCAAGGCCCTGGCGAATTATGTGCACGCAAAGGGGTTAAAACTCGGAATATACTCGGATGCCGGGCAAGTCTATCCATTGTTTCAGATTTTCAATAACACAAGTTATTTTGGTTTGCTCAGAACAGTGATGATCTTCTTTGGATTTTGTTTTCTTTTTCGTGTAACAGGTATAGTACCTGCAGCATGACAATGCCCGGGTCTCTCGGGCATGAAGATCAAGATGCGAGAACTTTTGCCGCTTGGGTTCGTGTCCTCGATTTAATTGATCTCGGGACAGAACTAAGTAATAAGATATGACACAGGGGTGTTTGGCTGTAGGGAGTGGACTATTTGAAGTATGATAATTGCTACCATGATGGATCCAAACCTCAACAAAGGTCTAAATTCTAAAATTCTAGGTTTTAATGTTGTTGTGGGGTAGTTAATTCCGTGGGTTAGCATGATCATATATTTAGGCATTTTGGACTAGCTAAACAACCAAAATATTCATCTGTCTTGATCTTCTGTTTCATTTGACAGGTTCTTGAGAATGAGCTATGCATTGCAGAGAGCCAAACGGCCAATACTTTATTCTCTCTGTGAATGGTATTCCGGGTTTAATACTCGATGTGATAATCTCCCAGTATTCGTAATGATTGTTTTGAAGCATCTTCACTAAATCTCACTACACCACGAGTGGATACAATCGTGTATCGATATGGCCTTAGTATCTGCTAAACTATGTTACAGGGGAGAGGAGAATCCGGCAAAATGGGCCGGTCAGCTCGGCAATTCTTGGCGAACGACGGGGGATATTAAAGACAGATGGGATAGGTTGCATATTTTGCATCTATTTGAACATTAACGAATCATTCATAGAAGGCTTTTGAGTTTATAAACGCATGAAATATGGCCTCACTTGTGCCCTTATGCATCGTTATTCAGTGTTACCTCCATTGCGGATATCAACAACATATGGGGAAGATTTGCCGGACCGGGTCGGTGGAACGGTAAGTGACAAATCTTTTTCCTCGATTAGCTTCTGCGGTTCTCTGATTGATGAGAAGAGCCATGAAGCTTTGATGCCTGTAGGGCTTTAAAATTTACTAGCAATCATCAAATTGTGTTTGGTCTGTAGCCATCTCGAAACAGTAACATGTAGTGCAAAATTGTAGATCCTGACATGCTGGAGGTGGGCAACGGAGGGATGACTTTAGAGGAATACCGATCCCACTTTAGCATCTGGGCTGTCATGAAAGTGCGTCTTCCGCTCCACGGCTTCCTAATCTTTCACCTACATAGATTTTGGACAATGTGTGAACTTTGTTCTCCTCACAGGCTCCTTTGCTAATTGGATGCGACATCCGGTCCGCAAGCAGAGAAACTCTTTCAATACTGGGGAACAAGGAGGTGATCGATGTGAATCAGGATCCTTTGGGAGTTCAAGCGAGAAAGCTTCGATCAAAGGCTGGGCTGGAAGTAAGTTTTTTCATATTTAAAACAACAGTAAGAGCTAATTATACAAAGTCACCAAAATGTTTGTGTACTTAAGGCCAGCACTTGTCCTACTGTAGTTTCAAGATGTTTGATGTGAGTAAAGTACAAAAATTCTGCGTCCCAGGAAAATTAAACGGTCGTCATCTTTCCCTTTATAGAAAATGGCTATTGTGACTTAATGTTTTCTAAGCATTAGAGTTTCTGATAACATAGTAAATAGTGGTGGCACAATCTTCTCTTATTACTGTCATCTGATGAAAAAGGTCTGGGCCGGACCGTTGTCAAGAAGAAGAGTGGTGATAGTGTTGTGGAACAGAAGCGGCTTGGTGGCCCCTATAACGGTCGGATGGAGGGAAATTGGGCTCTCTCCGTCGCAAGCTGTCATTGTTAGAGATGTCTGGAAGGTAATCTCCAAACAATTTTCTTGGACTAAAACTTTCTGGATTTGTAATTCCTACTCATCATCTGTCAAATTCAAGGCTTATTCTGAGACATTATCTTTTATGGCAGCATTCATTTGTCTCGAAGAGCATGAGGTTCCATTTGACTGCACTTGTTGCTCCTCATGCTAGCAAGATGTATGTGTTCACCCCCGTTTAATGCAAGGCGCGGTTGGTGAAAGGACACAGTGCATCAATTCAAGTGAAGAAGTGTAAATTTGTGATGAACTGTGTGGTATTGGAGACAGATTATATCATAATGATTCCCATGATGATTTAGCTATTGCTTTTGAAATGAATCCTCTTATTGTTGCGACTCGACCATTGGAAGGATCAAGAATGACTCATCTTAAATTTTAAGATTTCTGTTTCCTGATAGATTTTTTAAGAAGTTGGATGGTGTTAAAAATGGTTAGCCAAAGGAAAAAGAACCGGTCACCCAATTTCCGGTTAGCTTGTTGATTACTTACCAAATTTCTAATTTTATTACAGCTTATAAAATAACAACCTTTGTTATAACCTCACTTGTGCCCTTATGCATTACTTCCAAGGGGGGAAGTAATGCATGTGAATGAGCAAAATTGTGCACCTAATGGTCCCTCGTATCGTATTATGAAACCTAATACTTAGTTCCAGTCCCATGTTGGTGAAGATGCTTTGTCCTCCTCTTAGGTTTTCTAACAACATGCATCCCAACCCCAGTTGTTCTTTCTTTGTAGTTTGTACCCTGAGATTCTGGTTATTGGCGTGGGAAGATTTTGCTTGAAATTTTGGGGCAAAATGCGACGTGGCATACCGAGTAATTACCGGAGCATTGATTCATACCCACAAGAGCAGCATTGAAAGCAAATACATCTGTATGGTGTCTTAAAATTAGGCTTTTAACAGGGGTATCGTGAGAATGTTCGTATGATGAACGTGTTTGTCCTTCTCGTGCAAGACACGTTGAGAATTGAGTAGGCAGAGTCTCATCCATGCTATTGTCAAGGCAAAAAGAAGAAGAGATATTTCTATGCTAGAGTCAACTGCTAGCCTCACTGGCCCTTCTCTTCTCTCATAATGTGTAATTTGAAAGTTAGAAACAAAGGGAGAAGATGGACCACATGTTGAGCATTAGATAGACTACTTGAGATTACAGCTCATTGATAAGTGACAAGTTGGCAACATCATGCCCAACAATGTATCAAACTTGATGCATATCTTGTGGTTGTCCTTAATGCGCACAATATGATCTCCAAACAGAAGCAATACGTACGAAAGTACCAAACAATAAAATCTGAATTTTGGCACTTTCTCGCCTCATATTGACCTGTCCTTCGAGAATGCTGACATCAATGAACGAAGGTGAGGGTCCATATGAGAGCGAAATTTGCCTCACAATGCATATAATTAGGTTTGGCTGCTTTAAAATCTACATGAAGTTGGTATTTGTGAATTAGGCCACAAAAAAAAAAAAAGAGTCGGGTATCCTTTAGCGTGTATATCAAAAAAGAATGTCGAATAGTTAAACGTTACATACATTACAAAGTTCAAAATCTGTAATTTGCTGTGGAAGAGTTATCTATTATTTATGAATAACTTACACATTTTTCATACCTAACAATTTAACTTAGATTATCGAGACCTTCACAAGTTACAGATACAAACTCATATGGAGAAATCATAGTTCTTTCTTAACCTGATTTCCTTGGTCTTTGCAAGCCCATCAAAGATACTTAACACGAGTCTTGCACTAACAGCGCAGTCCTACGTCCACTACCACTTGCAAGATTGAACAGTTCATATCATCCCGCCGAGGTTGTCTCTGTTGGGATTTTGATATCCAAATCTCATAGAATTGAATGAAAAGTGTGTGGATGAAAGTGTCCCACATAGAATAGAAGAGGTGATGGGAGATGGTTTATATTGAGGAGCCTCTTAAATGGGTTTGGGCCTCAAGGGGTACCCCACTTTTGTGGAAGGGAGAGAACCTACGCCAAGCTAGGTCGGTCCCCCCCGCGCATGCGCCGCCGCTGTCGGTTCGGTTCAGGGTCCATTCTCTATCGGTTTTTTATTTTTTCCCGAACAGACACGTTGTTAGAAATTAATTAATTAATTATTTTTTGGATAAACAAACATGTCTGTCATGTCTGTTCGTGAGGTTCGCTTCACCCGAACGACATTTTTCACTTCATCATTATCATTTTGTGCGATTATTCTACGAAGTTGCGGTCGAAGGAGTCCTCTGAATACGTACCACTTCAGAGGAACGAGATCCGTTCTATCCTGAGAGACGATTGTCCAATATCCTCGGGTACTGATTGAGGGGCGAAATTCGTCTTAAGGACACGATGTTACTTCGTTGGGCTCGGATTAACATTCTGTTTATTTATTTGTACTGCTTTCAGGTTAGTTTTCCTAACGTTTGATTTCAATTTCTGGTATACGAACTTAGCCGACAATAATCTTAAGACGAATTTTCGTTGAAATGTTATTCTGTTTTCAATTATCTTCGGTTCTGTTCATATAATGATTTGCATGGTCTGCGTATTCTTATGCGTTGTTCATTGAGTTTTTCTGTCAAATATCTAGATTGGCGTTCCTTTAAGTCGAACCTTTGTTGTTCGTATACTTCTGAGTTAATACAAGTATTCTGTATAGTTCGTATGTTCCTTGTCATAGTTCGTATAGTATTTTTGTTGGGATTATTTTGTTATGTAGTTCGCTTAGTTTTTGACAAATTTCTATCACATCGTTCAATTCTTCTTGTGTCGAAATTCTATTACAATATTCGGAAATTTCGTATTCAGAATACGATTATGTTCATACATACATTCTGCTCCTGTTACAATTTTTCAATTCTGTTCGTGAACAAATTTTTCGTTTCTGTTCATATTAAAAATTTTCAATTCTGTTCTTGAACAAACGATTCTGTTCGTAATCATATATTTCTGATTCTGTTCGTGAATATGTTCTGTTTTTGTATTTCAGAAATGGCTTCGACTTCGACTCCGGTCAACCTTATTCTGAATCACGGAGAAAAGCCAGAAAAGTTCAATGGTACGGATTTCAAGAGATGGCAACAAAAGATGTTGTTCTATCTCACGACCTTGAACTTGGCTAGATTCCTCAATGAGGATGGTCCTAAATGGATGTTGGAGAGACAAATAAAGAAAAGGTTTCTGCTGTGGATCCATGGAAGCATTCTGACTTCCTGTGTCGCAACTATGTCGTCAATGGTCTGGACAATACTCTCTATAACGTCTATAGTCCGCTGAAAATGGCTAAGGAGTTATGGGATAGTCTGGACAAGAAATACAAAATCGAAGATGCCGGATTGAAGAAATTCATTGTCGGTAAATTTCTGGACTTCAAGATGATTGATTCAAAGACCGTCTTAAGTCAGGTTCAAGAGCTTCAAGTGATTATGCATGATATTCATGCTGAAGGAATGACTCTAAGTGAGTCATTTCAAGTGGCTGCCTTCATTGAAAAACTGCCACCATCCTAGAGAGATTTCAAAAATTATCTCAAACACAAGAGAAAGGAGTTGTCACTTGAAGACTTGATTGTTCGGTTGAGGATTGAGGAAGACAATAGGCTCTCTGAGAAGAAAGTTGGGAAGAACCTAGAGGTTTCAAAGGCCAATGTTGTTGAAGAAGGAACGAAACCCAACAAGAAGAGGAAAATGCCTAGCAAGTTTCCAATGGTGTTGATGATATCAATCATCGCTATAATATCCGAGTGTAATATGGTGGGAAACCCGAAGGAGTGGTGGATTGATACGGAGCAACTCGTCATATCTGTAAACAGATCGATGTTCTCGTCCTACACAACTGTGGGGGGTGATGAAAAACTTTATATGGGTAATTCATCAACCTCTAAGGTTGAAGGTGTCGGAAAGATTGCTCTGAAGATGACATCTGGAAAGATTGTGACACTAAATAATGTTCTACATGTGCCAGATGTTCGCAAGAATTTAGTGTCTGGATCTCTCCTTAGCAAGAATGGCTTCAAGTTGGTTTTTGTATCTGATAAGTTTGTACTCTCCAAAAATGAGATGTATGTAGAAAAGGGTTATCTGAGTGATGGTTTGTTCAAGCTGAATGTAATGACTGTTGTAACCAAGGATGATTTGAATAAAGTTGCTTCTACTTATGTGCTTGAGTCTTCTAATATTTGGCATGCTAGACTAGGACATGTTAGCTATAAGTCGATAAAGAAATTAATGAATATGAGACTGTTGCCGAAGTTTGACTGTCCAAGTGAGAAATGCCAAGTGTGTGTTGAATCTAAATTTTCTAAGCCTCCTTTCCATTATGAAGATAATAGAGTTACAGAACCTTTAGATTTAATACACACATATATATGCGATATGAAATCAATACCGTTAAGAGGTGGTAATAAGTATTTTATCACATTTATAGATGACTGTTCAAGGTATTGTTATGTTTATTTGCTTAGTAGCAAAGATGAGGCTGTGAATGCTTTTAGATCTTATAAATCTGAAGTTGAAACTCAGCTAAATAAGAAAATTAAAATGATAAGAAGTGATAGAGGAGGTGAATATGAATTTTCTTTTGAGGAAATTTGTACTGAGTTTGGTATCGTTCACCAAATAACTGCTCCTTATACACCACAATCAAATGGTGTGGCGGAAAGGAAAAATCGATCCCTAAAGGAAACAATGAATGCATTGTTGAACAGTTCTGGTTTACCGCAGAATTTGTGGGGGGAAGCTGTCTTAATAGCAAATTTTATTTTAAATAAAGTACCCCACAAAAAGACACAACAAACTCCTTATGAGAAATGGAAAGGCAGAATGCCTAACTTGAATTATCTCAAAGTGTGGGGGTGTTTGGCTAAGGTTGCGGTTCCTAAGCCTAAAAAGGTTAAGATAGGACCAAAGACTCTTGACTATGTTTTTATCGGATATGCTCAGAATAGCAATGCATATCGTTTTCTTGTTCACAAGTCAAAGATCCCAGATATACATGTTAATACGATCATTGAATCAAGGGACGCTTCGTTCTTTGAAAATATATTTCCGTATAACATAGTATATGAGCCAATTAATAATAATAAGAGGCCTCGAGATACTATATCTAGAAGTGATCCAATGGAGGATGAACCTAGACGTAGTAAAAGACAAAGGACTTCCACGTTTTTTGGACTTGATTTCTTAACGTATCTGTTAGAGAATGAGCCTCGAACATTCAAAGAAGCTGTGACATCGCCAGAAGCCCCGTTTTGGAAAGAAGCTATCAATAATGAAGTTGAATCCATCTTGTCAAACCATACTTGGGAATTAGTTGACCTTTCTCTTGGTAATAAGCCACTACAATGTAAGTGGATATTTAAGAGGAAAATGAAATCAGATG